AACACACTCACACACAAACACACTCACACACAAACACCGAGGAGCTGGTAAAGGCTTTACGGCTAGCTCAGTGAAGCAGGGAGGGGGGGGGGGGCGAACTTCAAACATCTCCAGCTGGGGAAGAGAAGCACGCAGAAGGGAACACACACACACACACACACACACAGGGAAGGAGAGATCTCAAAAAGAGATGCTGCCGATAGATTTCCATTGGGATTTTAAGACTCGAGAAGGAGGGCGACCTTCCACTGAGCTGCAAGGGTCTCCACTTCACACACGTTCTGATGCAAAAAGGATGGGCTTTTTCAAAAGAAATTCACTCCTTACTTTTGAGGGACCGTGTGTCTATTATATATTCCCATTAAAAACATCAATCTTTTTTCCCCATAGAAAATGTTAAGTGAGTGATTTCAAGTTGTCATAAGTTTATGGAACCTTGAGATGATTCAATATTTTTCCAGTTGATTTTGTAGAATCTGAAAGACCCTCGTGTCTTTAAAAACTCCTTCATCAGTCGCCCTGTTTTTTCTGTTGTGACATGTCACAGGTCAATAAAACAAATATATAGAATGAATCACTAATGGCAGCCTGATGCAGTAGAGGACATATGTCTTTTTTTAATTAATTTTTTTACACTAAAACCGTAATGAAACTTTTGGGAACGTTTTTACACAAGCATGGAAACCTAAAAGTTCTTTAGAGGAGATATGTGTACAAAGTATATCGCAAAAGATGCTGTACACTGTCCAAAAAACGGCCAATTTCACAAATAGTGCACGAACAGAGAGCTCAGTTACAAAAACCTGTTGATTGTTTATTACTTGAAGACTGAAGCAACCAAACATCTCTTGTGTAACTTTGGTCACATCCTGCTGTATAACAAGCCTTATCGGGGTTCGATCAAACTTGTGGCATCCGTTCTACTCAAACGTCGTCATTAAGGCAGGAGAGGGCAAACAAATACTTTGCAAACTCAACATTAGATTCAATTTACCGAATTCCTATTTGCCCTGAAAACTGCTGCCACAAATACTTCTTTTTTTTTTTTAACGTATCACAGTGGTGATCTTGTTTTTTAGAGGCTACGGTTTAAATATCTGCAGAGAGGATAAAAACATAATGACACACATGAGGTGTTTGTTTCAGAGCCATGTGACACAAAAACAAAAAAAAGTGCTGAGATGCCTTGGATTCTATGGGATCTTGACATGTGGGGATGTCATGAGAATTCAATATGATAGCACACATGCATGAAAACAGGAACAACTTCAGCTTTATGGCTTTCCTGGACAAGGCCTACACCAATGCCTTTCCCAATGAAGTATTATTCCTGCTTAATTTATTCATTTTTCTGTTTTTGAGCGTCTGTATCATTCCCTTTTTGTTAAAAAGCATAATAGTGGATTGTACAGACAAGTGCGTCCCTTCAACTTGTTTTTCAGATGAAAAATTGAAGATACATTTGCGTGTAGATCAGTTTTGTATTTCTGACCTTAGGAGCCACTTCCTTTTTTCTATATGAAAGAAGAAGAAAATATGTATGTGGAAGCAGCAGTTCCTTGTGTTCGTGGGATTTTAGTCCCAAATCATCAGACAAAGAGAAGTCTCCTAATGTCAAGTGATTACCAATGAAACACAATGTTAATATTCATAAAACAATCCACTCCTTTCAGTATAGATTACACCAAAGTCCAATTCCTTCTAATTAGAATAAAAGGCCTGTAAAATATTCAAATATTAACATGCCAAGCTTGTAGACTTGAGGCATGATTGAGGCTGCCAAAACAGTGGCAGTTTATAGCTTAGGGAGAGTTATCCTAGCAAATAATTTGTGATCCTAGCAGAAATTACGCCCTTTATGCCCCAGCATGTCCTCAGCATGGTTGCAGTAGAACTGGAAAGCACTTTATTTATTCCCAGTACGCTTCTTTAATCCAAGTTAAACGTCTTTAGACGTCCAAATACATGTCAGCTTTCATGCATCTCAAAACATTATTTGTGGCATTACTGACACATGAAGAGATCTGCAAGTTTTATGAATAAGCCACCAACGTGCAAGAGATAAATAGCTATGTTTAGAATCCTAAAATATAATAACATAGAGATTAATGCCGAGCAAACTCTAAAGTATAAATTCGCAAAAAATAAGATGAGCCAAAGACCCTAAAAGACAAAGCAAAAACTTCATATCGAGCAAAAAAAGCTTGTTTTTTTTCTTAAGTGAAGGGATGAAACTGTCCTCTCAGATGTTTATTTGGATACTACTTCCTCTCATGGGAACGAGCTAGAAACAACAGAGTTTCTCAATCAGTGGGAATGAGTCGATGCAAAACCCAGACAGATTCAGATTGTGCAGTCTAAGTTCTACCACACACAACGCCCCGAGTTAGCTCATATTCAGTTCTCTCTCCATGGGACCACAGAGACAGGCTTCCTCATATTCCTTTGAAATGCTGCTCACTATTAAATGACCTATCAATGTTTGTTTTTCAGTCCGGGTATAGCTTCAAAAACTGACTCTCTCACACTAAACCAACTTGTCTGGATTAGTTCATTATTGGAGTGATTTCAAATAGATATTTTCTATTAAAAAACAAGAAAAAAAAACCTAACAATTTCAAATAAATCTAATGAGAATAACTAATTCCCTATGAGAACTTGGAAGAGGAAAAAGAAGTCTGACCCTAACCCTAAAAAGGCTTCTTCTGGGAGTGAACTGCTGTTATGGAGCATTCAGAAGACAGCAGTTGTCCTTCAACACCACGGATTCACAAGAAGCCGCAGGGCCGGCCTCTCAATAATAGCCCGATAGAGACGTGAATCGAGAGGAATTTGAAAAATTTGAAGAAGTTGACGTACGGATGGATCTGAATGTGACAAGAGGTCTATTTGTCTGTCTCCCATTGCAACATGCTGCTCTGAAAGCTGCGAGCGTGACAGGATGAGTCCTCGGCCTAACTCCACCAGTCGTTTTCTAACTTTTTGGAACACCACCGGTCAGTGAGGTGACCGGTCAGTAATCAAACATATCAGTTGTGAATTAAATTAAGCGTAAGATGTGAATCCGCTCGAGCTCCGCTGGCAAACGCCTTCGAGGTAGCATAAAAAAACGCGTTTCAATATCAATTCAATCCGAATCACGCTTTGGGTCACAAATTCATCGCAGCTCGGATGAACAAATGCTTTTGGTCGATCATGCGAGAGAAGCTCAACTCTCCGAAATCACCACAACAAAGAGTATTTCACAGAAAAGATGAAGGCTGCATATTTCAAGACCAATAAACAGATAAAATACTTAGAATTACTTATAGCTTCAGCAAGTAAAATAAAACGGGCTACTGAGGCTGCACAACATCACCAACACTCCCTGACCTATCGATCTGACCACTACTTTATTGTCAGTATTCTAAATTCAGAGCTTCATAATATTCGGATGGATTTTAGCTATTGACCAAAACAGCCAATGTTGGATTCTAAATCTAGAAACATCAGGGTTTTCTTTCCTGTTACAAATAATCTCAAGCCATGCTACGTGCCTTATAGCCCTCCTCGGGGTGTATCCTGATCTTCTATTTTTTCATTTTTTAAATAGTGGAGTACTCTCAGATGCTAGCCCTTATTCCCCAGATTTCTGTAGATGAAATATTTCCAATTATTTCGGAAGGGGACGTCAAAAAGAGATCGCTATGTTGTAAAAGACCTGTGTCAAAGAGGTCTAGTCATAGTATTTTGAGGTTAGTCACGCTGCCTGGGTGCATAGGCAGTAAATAAAGTGGTGTTTAACCCCTTAATTTAAACTCACAACACAGAAAACTAAGAACAGGGTGGTGCTAATACCTACTCAAGAGTACTAACACTATGGCATTTCATGTTGTTGTTCTGATGAACGTCTTTTGCTTTCTGTGTGAGAGCTACTACGTTTTAGATTACGTTAACTGTGGGCATAAGTGCTAGACTTGCAGGGGTGTTTTTGCCTTTGCTTCTCTGAACTCCTCATTTCCTCATTCGCTATGCTTTCTTTGAAACCTACTGGCTCGTCTCAACGAGCATCCTTACTTTTCACTAACTACAAGGGTCAAACAAGCTGCCGTCCCCCTCCGTATGAGGCATAATCGTGCATGTGCGGGCATATTTACATGTTCACGCGCTAGCAGTCATAAACAAGGGGTGTGTGTGTAGGGGGCCGGGGGGGGGGGTGTGTGTACATGGCTCCATACTGCATTCATACATACCAATGAGCAGTGGTTGTGGGTTATTTATAGAGCGACTATATTAGCTCCCCATATGTGTCAGCTGCTGCTCTCAAAATGGCCACAGATAGCAAGGAGCAACAGCAGGGAAAAAACTACCTGGGAAAGTGGGAAGCCAAAAAACGAGAGTGGTGTGGATATAGGCCGAATGCGTGCGTGCATGTGTGTGTGTTAGTTTGAAGGTGTGTGAGGTGCGGCCTGCTGCGGGGCGTTTTCACCTGACAGTCGTGCGTACATGTGCCCACAGAGCCGTGGACGCTAACGACTCTGAGGAAGGTTAGACTCAGACGAGACCACACGGCGCACACAAACAAGTCGAGCCTGTTCGGCACGGCAAAAAAAAACAAAAAAAAAAAACAACCCCCGTGAGTCACGCTCTGCTGTCAAACTTGCGTCTTGTTTTTCCGAACTGATCCCTCATTTCTCGGCGTGCACACACTGTGGATACAGGTCCCTGTGTGTGGTTGGACGGGGGAGAGGAAAAGAGGGGTGAAGGGTAATGAGATGAATGATGGCAGCATCGGAGTACCCCCCCCCCAGTTCGTTCACATGGGTGTGTGAGCCTGATTGAGCCACAAGAGGCATAACGGACCCCCAAGCCCGGTATACAGAGAGATGAGAGCAAGGGAGAGAGGTGGTGGGGGTGGGTGGGGGGGGTGGGATCTCTGAGACTGTCTGCTCAGACTGCCTCCCGCTTCCATCTGCCCATCTCCCCTCCAATCACAGATCTTCAACGGGCGCGTTCAGAACTCACTTGATGAAGCAGCGAGCCCCCTCGAACGTATATCCTTCCTCCCATCCTGTTGGTAAATCTGTAGGGGGAGAGGGAGGGGAGAGGGTGGGGGGGGGAGAGAGAACAAGACGGCAGGAGCATGAGCTGCTGTGCAGAGATGTGGAGCTGATTACACGCGCGCGCGCGCACGCACACACCTGCACGGCAATGCAGTGTCTGAATCTGAATCACACGTCGCTAATTTGGATGGAGTCCCCCCTCGCATTTCTGCGCCCCCTACCCCCCCAAAAACGGGAAAATCAGATGGAGGGGGGTGGGGGGGGGGGGGCGCCAGTGGGTGCCATCACGCCTGTCAAAAGCCTCCGGGTCCGCGCGTGCGCGTTTATTTTGGCGATTTACGGTCGGATCGCCGGCTTTTCCCGCAACCAGATGCGCAACTGCGGCTCAATATGCGTTTTTTTTT